GTGTCACTTGAAGCAGTATAAAATTCTAATTATAATGTCGTTAATACTTTAATAATATGGAATAAAATGTGTTCTTGGAAACGAAACAGAATCATATGTAAAGTATATATAAGCTCTAGGTGTTTCCTTTTAGCTATGATGCACTTTAAGAATTTATATTGTCTTACATTGTTTAAATAATTGATTTTTATTTGAATTTCCTGTGTTTTAATTCTATGTTCTAAATCAGGGGTGGGCAAATACTTTTAAGTGCAGGCTAAAATGAAATTTTCAAAATGTCTCCCGGGCCGGAAGACTATACCACGTACGCTGTGCACACGCGAATGTTTTGGGTGGAGTTTTTTCCCTGCCCAAGAATTTTTTTTAACAAAAACACTATAAGTATTTTAAACTTTAAAATTTTTTTAATTTAAAGCATTTGGACAGAGAAATTTGACAGTTAATAAAAGATAATAGGGATAATAAATTGTCTTACTTAAGTGTATATGCGAACAATTTGTGCCCAGTAAAATATGTCACGTAATTTTTAAAGAAATATGATCCATTAAATTACTAGTCATTAAATAAATCAGTTAATGAAAGATTTTATTTTGATATTTATTTATTTATATATTAATGACACAAATTATTTTATTTTGATCATAGTTATTACATTTTTATATTTATATTACATTTTGTAAATATAATAGTAAATAGAATTATAAAAGAAAAGACAAACATCAAACGTTAAAATAGAATAGTTTTAGTTAATGCGAAACGTGAAATCTGGAATGTTCATTTGATATTATTTCTTCAAAATTTGGATCCAAATCACTTGTAGCAATCCTTAATACCGAGTGTAGATTTTCGTCAGTAATTTGTGATCGATATTTATTTTTCGTGTAAATCATTAACGAAAAAGTTCTTTCACAAATATATGTTGAACCAAATAAAACTAGGTATTTTTGAACATAGTTCAAAAAATTTTTGAAATGTTCTGTATTCAAAGCACCGTAGAAAACACTCAACTCGTTTGAGTGAAAATTTTCTTTTAGTAAATTATTTGACTGTAAGTCAATTAGTTCTAGTTGAATTTCAACAGGAGCTTCTTGCACGTCAAAATTGAAAGGTTGACTAATTAATGATAAAGGTTTTTCAATAGCTTTGAAATCTTGAAATCTTCTTTGGAATTCAGAATGCAGGTCTTGTGTTATTGCACTATATTTAAGAAAATCGGTATTTTTCAATGATTCTCGTCGTGATTGTAATGAAGGGAAATGATTTAGTAATTTCTTATTAAAGTTTTTAGCAAATAAAATGAGTTTTATCATAAATGCTTTGACGTTTGAGTGCATATTGAAAGCGAATTGGTTTTTCCCTTGTAGATTTATATTTAGTTCATTCAAATATTTTACAATATCTACTGCAAACGAGAAATCGTTTAGCCATGCCTCATTTTGCAATTCAGGAAAATCATGTAGTTTTTTTTTTTTTTTTTTTTTTTTTATCGACAAGAAGGATACTATTTCATCAAGTAAATATTGAAACCTGTCCGAAACTTTACCGATGCTAAGCCATCGCACTTCAGTGTAATAAGGAATTTCGTAAAAGTCACTTTCAATTTCTTTCAAAAATTCAACAAACTGTCGATGATTTAAGGCACGTCCCCGGATAAAATTCACAACTTTTGTCACAACAGTAACGACGTGATTCAATTTCAAGACTTTTCTACATAACACTTCTTGATGAATAATGCAGTGTAAAAATAATATATCCTGTTCTGGCTGCAACTCTTTTACTTTGTCGCTGATTCGTTTTAGTAAACCCACATTTGTCCCTGTTAAACTAGGACAGCCATCCGTAGTGATGCTTACTATTTTGTTCCAAGTTAAATTTACTTTAACTAAACACTCTTCAACAGCGATAAAGAAGTCTTCACCGGTAGTTGTATCTTTCATTGGATGCACACTAAAAAGTTCCTCGCTAATTTCACATTTCTTGTTAATACCTCGGATAAATATTAATAATTGACTTGTGTCAGTAATATCGCAGGACTCATTTAAAGCCAGAGAACAATATGTAAAACCAGCAATTTTTGTTCTGAGCTGGTCAAGTAAATTTTCTGCAATATTTTCGCAATATTCTGTACTATTGTTCTTCTCGAAAGGCTTACATTTTCAAAAATATGTTTTTATTCAGGACAACATATCTCCGACATTTGTATCATGCATTGTTTGACAAATTCTGCTTCAGTAAAAGGTTTACAGAACTTAGCAATTTTGTGAGCAACAGCATAACTTGCTTTTGTGGTAGATTTTTCGATATTACTTTGTTTGGTACGAATATTTTGTTGCTTATTTACGTTTTTTGTCATGTTTTCTGCTGCGCTTTGAAGTTCTTTTAAAGAAAGTGATGCATATTTTGGATGTTTTGATTTAAAATGCCTGTTTAAATCGTATTCATTGAAAACAGCAATTGTTTCCTGGCAAACTAAACAAATTGCTTTCTTATCAATGTTTGTAAAAAGGTATTTTATCGTCCATGCTTCATTGAAATTTCTGCACTCCAAATCAAACTTTTCTTTTTTTAGATTGACTCATTTTACAAATGCCTACAAATAAATAATTTAATTATTACAATAAATATATATATATTATTATAGAAATAAGACATATATATATAAGAGATTAAATAAGATATATTTTAAGAGGATGTTACAGCATATAAGAGATTAAAAAAATTGCATGCAGGATTTTTCAACAGGCCAGATAAAGTAAGCAAAAGGGCGCCGGCTTTTGCCCACCTCTGTTGTCAACACAAGTAAAATTTCATTTCAGTTCTGAACGAAAAGTGTTAACATAACAAAATATTATTTTTATTCAGTCAACACAAGTAAAATTTCATTTCAGTTCTGAACGAAATGTGTTGACATAACAAAATATTATTTTTATTCTGATTGATAAATGTTTCCAGTGTGCATAATTCTTTTAGTATTTTTATAACTGTATTACTACCAATGAATGAGTTGTGTGTTTTGTTTTATTTTATGAATAATATTAACAGATATTTTCTTATCCTCTTTCAGAATAGAAATGATTTAAAAGTGAAAAGGATTTTATCTAGTATATTATTTAAACTGTGCCACTAATGTTTTGTTTTTATGCAACAAGAATACTTCTTTTGAATTAATGTTTTATTTACTGTTATTCTGAAAAGGCATTCTAAAACTTGCTGTATTTTCAAATTGGGAGTTTATAAAAATTTTTAAATTATTATTTTGTAATAATTGAGAACTTATAAATCTAACTGTGTTTTTCAAAGAGAACTACAGTCGAAAATTAATTTCTTGAAACATTAAGAATTTTGTAGACACCACAGGCATTATTAATAGAAGATTTATAAAAGTTAAATTCTATTTTTGGGATTTTATGTTTACTAAATTTGTGTATATTATTGTCCATTGGCAAGTGTACCAATTTGTGTAAAATGTTAGTTTCGCTTTCGAAGTAATCGCAGGTGAATGATTTTGTTCGATGTTGTTTTTCAATTATTATGTAATTGTTAGGGGTAATTAAGAAATTCATAAAATTTCTGAACTTATAATTTTTCTTCAAACAAATATTGAACTTTTCAATGGACATTGAAAGTACGATAACATGCATTTTTGGAACTAACCAGAAAAAAGGATCTGCAAGTGTTAGCCACAGTGGGTCTGCCCGTCTCAGATAATTTGAAAGTGATTCAACTCAAGGAGCTAATTACGCACATAAACAAAAATTCCATAAATTTCCAATTAAGCTAAAGTTTTGAAACATTCACTTGAATGAATCTTCGAAGTGACGAAGGTAAACATTTGCATACAAAACGGCATATTCAACTAAATCGCTTATTTCAAAATTTCAAGAGAACTGCTTCAAACCAGGGGGAGATCCAACCTCATGTAGTTAACTTTTCTAGAATCATCCTGATTCTATACTGTTGAATGAATCATTCTGATTCAGTAAAGTTTGAAGAGAATCATTCTGTGCTGTTAAATGAATCCTCCTGATTCTCTACTGTTGAATGAATCATCCCATTTCAGTGAAGGTTTGAAGAGATTCATCCTGATTCTGTGCTGTTGAATTAATCATCCTGATTCAATGAAGTTTGAAAAGAGTCATCCTTATTCTGTGAAGTTTTGAGTGAATCATCCCGATTCTATGCTGTGCGATGACTCATCCCGATTCAATGAAGCTTGAAGTGAATCATCACGATTCAGTGAAAGTTTAAAGAGAATCATCCTGATTATGTGCCGTTGAATGAATCGTCCCGATTCAATGAAGTGTGAAGAGAATCATCCTGATTCTATGGAGTTTCGAGTGAAGTGAATTATTCCGATTTAATGAAGTATGAAGAGAATCATCCTGATTCTGTGTTGTGTGATGAATCATCCCGATTCAATGAGGTTTGAAGTGAATTATCCTGATTCAGGAAGTTTCGAGTGAATCATCCCTATTCAATGAAGTATGAAGAGAATCATCCTGATTCTATAGAGTTTCAAGTGAATCATCCTGATTCAATGAAGTATGAAAAGAATCATCATGATTCTGTGTTGTGTGATGAAGCATCCCGATTTGGTGAAGTATGGAGGGCATCATCTTGATTTCTATGAAGTTCTGAATGAAACTTCCTGATTCAGTGACGTTTGAAGAGTATGAAAAGCACAAAATTTGTATAGAGAATATGTTTCAAGGAATAAATGCAGTGGAAAATAAAATGGATGAAATGCTAATTCAAAAATGCAAATAGAAATTGAGTAACAGTGAATAAAAATAATCAAGAGAATATAATTTATCAATATACTAGCAGTCAGAGGGTGATAGAGGAAGGGGGGAATTATGCAAATATTTATAAAATTTTTGGAATCTAACACTAAAAGGCTGGAGGGAGATATCATTTCTCATTAGCCTGTATTTGAAAAAAAATTGTTTCCAATTTAAGGGTATTTTAGACCATTTGTTTTTTTCCTCTCACAACTTTAGTTTATGAAAAAAAGCAAAGAAAAGTGTGAACAAGAAGCCGAAGAAGAAAGAAGGAAAATTATGTTTGAAAATGAGTTTCCAGATACATTAATAAGAGAGGGGTATGTTTTTACCATTTTGTTTATTTTTCATGTAATATACCTTTACAATCTAATTATATTTCAATTATTAGCTATTATTAAATATTTTAATAATTATACCATACCAAAAATTATATAATAATAGATTTTTATTTTTTAGCAGGGATGATAGTAGTCCCAATATAGCTGCAATTCCTGATTTTTTACTTTCTCTATGCAATTTCCATATTTGTGAAATATGGTCAAAAGTCTTTAATCCGGACGTCCATAATCCGGAATGATCTATAATACGGACCTCAGAGCTACAAACTTTCTGCACATGCGTCAACGCATTATGTGTTGACGCATGCGCATATGCATCTACACATGAGCATAATATTTTTATGCATGCGCGTTTAATGTATAACGGATGGTATAAGCTAAAATTATCTAATTATATATTTAAGTTAATGTTGCAGATTGCGTTGTTCCTTAATCTTCGAATTGGATCCGGCTTATTATTTTTTGCAGACTGTTAGAGAAATTTTATAAAAGTAAGTTTGAACTTTCGATTATGTCAAAAAGAATTTCCGATTCTGGAGGTGCCAAAGGATCTACAAAGTGAAAGCATGTTTCAATGTCCATCAAACAGTGGAATTGCTGCAAAAAAATGGATAAAGGCATATTCTTTGTTTCTCTAAACATTCCAAAATCTGTTTATCAATTTCACGGTGCTCTGCAGGGGGGGGGCGCACAATTAGCTGGAAGTTGATCTGTCACCACTATCCTTATCTTCAGGGCAGATGTTTTTATTTTATTCGGCTTTTAATTCCTTACTAAATGTAGTATTTCATCTCGATGTACTCCATCTTTGATATGATTTAAATCAAATTCCTTCTCATTATAAATATCACAAATACACATCAAATAGTTTTCTGGTTGCAGTTTTCTAATTTCGACTATGCGTAATGTATGCTTTACGCATGCGTAGGTTGAAAGAAATGTTTAATAAAATAAACCAATAAATATTAAGCTTTTTTTTTTTTTTTTTTTGTAAATTTTGATACCCTTTAGTTCATAATTGCTCATTATTTCATAAATTACGGAATCTATAATCCGGAATCGCCGAAGTCCCGACGAGTCCGGATTAAAGACTTTTGACTGTATAGAATCTGTAATCAGAAATCTGTAAAATCAATATCTTCTTCAAATTTTGTTTTATAATAGATATATCATTCAGCGATTACCTAAATTTGAAACTTCTAGACTACATAAAATTACTTCTGTGGACCTATTGTTGAATGTTCATTTAATTATACAGAAGCTGTTCACACATTTTTTAGATGATGTATATTGTATTCACAAAACTAAATTACATAAAATTCTTGTGTTTTAAATGTTCTATTTGACATCCCTTATTCTGAACTATCTTTCGACACCGCAATTTCCAGGATAATAATGCCTTTTGAAGTGGGAGAAAAGGTATTCTATCCCATTCCTCCTGAACAGCTTTCTAGAGTCCTGTTAGGGTTTGGGGACAACGTTTGGATAATGCAGTGTTTAAAAGTCCGAAAGCACAAAAATCCATAGGTGACACATCGGGAGATTTAGTAGAGATATCAGTGAAGGGTATGGCCTTGGTACCAGTTTTTTTTTTTTTTTTTTTTTTTTTTTTTTTTTTTTTTTTTGTTGTTGTTCCATTTCTTTTAGGAAATTTACAGTTGATTTTGATGTGTGACTGCTAGCTTTGTCCTGATGGAGAGTGACAGATTGATGGCACTGTGGGTAAAGCGATGGTATTTCATTCAGAAAAATTGGCGATCAAATATGTTCCTGATAGTATTTGGAGTTAATCTTTACATTTTTTTGGTACTCTGTTTATTTTTAACTTGCCATTATAAGAAAAAACCAGCAACAATCATGAATCCCTTAGAGAAACTTTCTTTTGATTCTTTGAACCATGTACTTAAATCTTTTTCTCCTCTTTTATGATAATAAATGGCTTTTTTTTTTGTTAAAATCTTTTAAATACACCCATGCTTCATCTATTGTGACAATTGCTTTCCATTTTTCTCTGGATAAGTGTTTCTCATATAGAATTCTGTAGCGTGTCCTGCGTTGAGCGATATGCTTTGGAAGAAGACGATGCACATTCAGGGTTCGTACAGTCCTTAAGAGTCCTTAAAAGTCCTTAAATTTTTTGGAATTGATTTTTGGTTCTTAAAAGTCCTTAATTTTGGCCAAAATCAGCAGAAGGTCCTTAATTTTAATCATCTGAAATTTCTGTCTGTTTTTATGACTGCCATTTTGAGTGTGAATTAGCATTTTGGAGGAATATTTTTTACGATTCACTGACATATATAGTTATCTTTTGAATGGGTTCATGGGTTATAATTTGTTTCTATTTCTAATAAAAATTATGGGATACTCGAGTTTATAAGCAAGTTAAACATAAGCATTTCAAAATTCCCCTTTTTCTAATAAAGAACTCTTAAACAACTTTTTGCTTTTGGGGATGTGAATTCTTTTATTAAACAGCTCTAAATTTGGCGACTTGTCAACATTTTGGCGATTTTAGGATCAGTTTCTATAGAAAAATTTTAATTCCGAGATCTGACAATTTTTCGACCAGTTTTTTTAAAGCATCATAACATTGATAAATTTCATTAAAATAATTGTAATATATTGAAATTATATATAAAAAATAACATTAAAACATTCTATTTTTCGCTATCATATTATAAAGTTTCATTTTGGCAACTTATACAATATTATGAATCTGATAAATAAAGCATAATTTACAAAACAGCTCTTAGCAATAGCCAAATTCCATAGGATTCCATGCAATTATTAAAAATGTCTTCTTTTTAATTTTTTCATAATAAGCGTTTTTCCCATGCAATTGTCTCGGAATATTCGAAATTCTCAGAATATGCATCAGTTTTTCTCTATAAAATTAATTTTACACTTTTTCTCTCCTTCATTTTTTCAAAATATATCTGACTTTTTGCTGTTACAGAATTGGTAGGGATAATTTTTCTTTAGTATTTTAGACATTGCAGCTTGGAAAGTTTAGAAAGGGTTTGAAAGTCAAGATTATAGACCCACGATTCTAAGATTCCAGAAATATGTGACAAAAGTGAAAAATGTCTCCATGGTATCGAACACGTAATGGATGTATTTTACCAGAAAGTTTGCGATGAATTTCTTACCATTTGGAGAACATCTGGAAGAACAATGAAAACATAATATTTAAATGTTTTACTCCTGATACTAGAATCCTTTTTCTTAACATGTTTATCTTCACTTTATCTTTCACTACCTTTCACTAGACAACAAGCATCAAAAATAATCAAAATGCTTCTAATCTTATCACTGGGCAGGCATTATAGAAAGGGATTTTTTTTATTAATAAGAAAAATTGAAAACTTACAATTTAAAAGATTCATCTAATATGCCTCAATGCATCATACCCAGAGATGGCACTAGGCATTTTCCCACCTGATGCAATCTCTGTGGATCCTAAATTCTAAACGTTTTGCTATTTCTAGATTTTGTTGTTCGGTGTGTCACTAAATTCTAAAAATTCTGCCACACCAGCTTTGTAACCGGGCTTTACCATATATATTTCATATTTCTTCTGAATGTTCATATTACTAAACAAATCGAATTAGCCACTTTTTCTATACATTCTAAATGCATTTAGTGTCTTTTAGAATAACAGAAATAATTAGATTCTAAAAGGAAAAGGAACCGTGTTGAAGAAAGAAACTGAATACATAAAGAAAATTACTCCTCAAAGATATGTGCAGTTATTATAATGTAACTTACCCAATTGTTTATAATTTCAGCCTTTCAGTTTATGATTCAGTCGGGGGTTTGGGACTATTTAACTTTTACCAGATCAAGTAAACCCTCATAGGTACCTTGTGGAAATGTTGACAAGTTAGGAAGTGAGCACGCAGAAACTAGAGAGAGCATTGGTTTGCATATTGAGACAACTCTCTAATTGTTAGAAAAGATGACTAAAGAGAAGGAAATCGATATAAACTAGCTAAAAGTTTGGAAAGGCTTCAAATCAAAACGAAGGATAGATATTTTGTTGAGTGTTGTTACAAAATATAAATGTTTTGTAGCTTTTAATGTGTATCCTAATATCGGTTAAGAATCAATGTCATAAATTACATGTATTTTAAACTGAAATTTTATCAGATTTTGATTTTAATAGGCTTTTTTTTAACAAATATTGTTAAAAAATAAAATTTAATAGTGGCCATCTAAATCCATAATGACTAAGGTTATCTAATTACCTAATTTAATTATTTATAACTAACTGCTTACCCTTAAAAGTTATCTCTACATATTAAAGCAAGTTATTGTCTTTCATTAACAGTTACTGTGGTCACAAGATAAAACACAAAAATTTAAAAATTCAAGTAAAACTTATTCTTTGCATCTAGTGAAACTTAAAAATAATACAAAATAAATTATCATCTCTGGTACTTTAATCGCTTATTGGAACATTAAAGTATATTAACTGGGCTACAATCCCTTGGAACTCTACACAAAGCTATGACACTAACTGCATCAAGTGGAGCCTGACTAAGTTTCAACACATGCCAACTGTGTCTACATCAGACCTTTCAGGTTTGTTCTGATGAGCAGGTTTTCTCTCTAGACAAGCAACAGCGGTGACAACATTCAGTCTTTTGTTATGAATCATGCTAATTATGATCTTACTTCTCATTTTAACCTATACCGTTTGACATAATATCTACCTGCTATTTACTAAACCTCTAGACTGACCAAGTATGTAACAAAATGAGACATAAAAAAAATCAGCATAAAGCTAACTATTAGTAAAACGTAAGTAAATGTCGTCATCTTTCAAATATGTCCAACTATTATAAGTGTAAAATATTTAATCCTACTTGATAAATTGTATAAAGTTTATTTTATTCTAAAACTTATTAATCATTATGTTAATTAATTCATGTTTAGTAATAATGCATACTACTCAGGGATCTATTTTATTTTTAGGA